TAACAAATTAAATAACACATATCTGAGAGGGTGATAGAGCAGATTGTTACCCCTCGAAAAGACATTGTCAACCTTGGCTTCGCCTCAGTTGACAATGTTTTCTCGGGGTAACAATCTGCTCTATCACCCTTTCAGCTTTATGTTATTTATATAATGATAACCAATATTAGAAAGAAAAAAGTAACACCAAATTCTTTGTACGTCTTTAAAGTAATTTTGATAGAAAATTTTAACGCATCCAAATGAACTCTGACTAGTATTATACCTTTATGGGACGACTTAAAGATTTTGATTTTTCTCGGGGTAGGGTAGCAGGAGGATTTTGGAAATGAATATGCCTACTTGGTAAGAACTGAAAATAAATAATCTTGTCCAAGACAGGATGAAGATGAATATTGTTCCACGTATACAATTGAGTATGAAACCAAAAATAAATGTTTGTTCAGCTTTGCCTCGCGAATAGGTGAAAAGGAATTTTTTGTTCGCACCCCTCCCTAATAATCAAATGATAACCCCATAGTTTATCTTATGTTATAAGCTAAAACAATAATTAGATATAAGAAGATGTGGTATGAGTGCCAATGAGACAACTCTCCATCCAAGTCAAAATTTATAAAGTAAACCATTATAGGTCACAGTACGGTCTTCAATACGGAGCATTGGCTCACACCGAACAGTAAGCTATAAAGGGCCCCAAAAAATTACTAGTGTAAAACCATTCAAACGGGAAAACCAACGGTATAATATATATAAAAAACGAGAAACGAGAAACACTTATGAACCACATCAACAAACGACAACTACTGAACATCAGATTCCTGACTTAGGACAGGTGCAAACAAATGCAACGGGTTTAAACGTTTTAATGGTACCAAACCTTCACCCTTTTTCTGAAACAATAGTGTAACATCACAACATAGAAAGACACACAATAAAATATCAACTGAAATAGCTTAACTCAATCAAAGGACATATTAACACCATTGAACATACACTGAACAAATAAATTAGACCTATGAAACAATGTAAATACAAAATAAATAAACTAAGGGAAGAATAATAAAACTAACATGTTATATCGGTAAGAAATGTTAAACAATTAAAGAAAAACAATATGATCGAACAAAACTATCAGCCATTTGCAATAACTTTAAACACAGGTAAATGAAAATAATTTTGTTGTTAGGTATACGTGTATAGTACCAATAGAGAAAGGAAATATTTTTACAAAATAAATAATTTTGATGTTAATAGTACGAAGTGAAAATTTATAGTTATACCAAACACTTATCAAAGGTGATATATAGACCAGATATAACCCTGAATAACATTAAATAACAAAAAAGCAATACAATTAGTATCAACAGGTCAAATAAACAAGAAAGTACGATTTGAGAGTACTCGCAGTTACTGACAGCTAGTTAAAAGCCAAAACAATTAATAATGAAAAATCATGCATCAGAGACTAAAATTAACTAAAACACATCCCAGGGATTTAGTATTTTAACGTCATGGACAGTCAAAGAAGACATGACTAGTGCAATGCCAAAAATAAATGTATCGACAGACAGTAGGATAGTTAGGAGTTTAACCTCTTTATAGATCTAAACAAACGTGGGTGTGTCTTTATACATCTCGCTTGAAAAAAATACATATTTAGTTATGTTTTAATTTGCTGATGACAAACTCGATATTAGTGCCAATGTAAACTATATTCAAAGATCTAATTACAACATTGGTTAGATAACCTTTACTAATAAGTTTGTTTAAAGGTTCGATGAGTTTACACGGATCACATAGTGATTTCCGCGCTTTAAGTACAATATTACCGTGAAATTTAGGATGTGAAATACCGTTTTTAATCAGTTTTCTACAAGTACAGCCAAATTTACTAATTAAATCTTTGTATCTATGAAAGAACTTAGCAAAAGTTTTACGTAATTTATGGTAACGAAATCCTTGATTTAACAATTTACCAGTGATTCATTGATTACGTTCGTTAAAATCTATGACATCACTACCAGGCATGGGGCGAATTACATTGCAATGTAATGCATTATATTACAATTACTTTGACCAAACCATGCATTATATTACAATTACAATTACATGCATTTATCAAAGTAATGCATTATATTACAATTACTTTTGCAAAGTAATGCCTTGAATTACACATTACATTTGAAAATTTTATTAGTGAATAGAAAAATGAAACATTTTGAAAAACAACTAGAAGTCACAAAAGATTCTAGCATATACAGTAACTGTTCCATGAATTGAATATAAGTATACATGTAAAAAGTCTATTTAATTTGACTTTTACAATTTTTAATTATTTTAACTTAATGTTGACTTTACTTTTATAAATATATTTTTTGTTGTTTTTTTTTTTTTAATTTTAAACGAAATATTTAATTACTGTGAATTACTTCCCTAATTATAAAATAAACATAGACCTTAATTAATGAACAATTGTCTAAATGGTGAAAATATTGATTGTTAAACAAACTAATTAGTGTTTTATAACAAAGTTTAATTATCTTTTATTTAAGCAAAACAAAGATATTCTTTGATCTTATGACAACAATACAGCTATGCTTTTCAAATATCAATCTTTTTATGCAGGAAAATGTATGAAATAAGATGAAATAAAGAATATATTCTAATGATTAACATATTCTTAGTTAATCAAGAAATCTTAAATTTGGTTTAGTTAAAACTCCAACAAACCAGAAGCAAACTTAGATTTCATCGATCGATTAGAAAATGTTCTTAGTAAAGGTAATTGATGCTTACCTGAAAAATTTAATCATACACATTAAAGCATGATCCCCCTTTTTTCTTTGTTTGTCATCAATCGTCTATTAGTCCTTGCTTAACAATAGTTTATTTGTTATCCAATTTTATTTTGAGGCTTGAAAAATTAGCTTGACTTTGACACATTACTTTTAATATTATTTTAGACGGTTTAGATTTCAAGTAATCCAATTTTGATATTGTCTCTTTCAAAACATATCATTCATTTGATTTATTTGATTTATAGAATAATATAGTTATATATAAATACCTTTGATAAGGTGAATATACAGTGATACACAGATTTTTTGTAAAAATTCCTTTCATTATATTTGTAGATTGATTAAATCATTGATGTCAAGTGGCAACTATTACCAGCTTATTTAGGACAATAACCTAGTAATGAGACATTAACTTAGCCTGCTTTATACTAAACCTACACATTGATTTGGTTCTTAATAGGCTAGCTCATACGGTAATAGGCCACAGAAAGACATAGCACCCTACGCAAACGATTCAATCTAACTCCAAGCCAACCGGTCTCTGTACTTACTCATAAATGCAACTTGTTTGGCTGAGAAACAACAAATGCCAATTTTAATTTCTTAAGTTTGATCAAGGGGTCGGACCCACAATCTCCTGTCCTCAATTAATATTAATGCAGACACAAAAATAAATGAGTCGGAATATATTAATTTTTGTATATTTATTTGTCGTTATAGGTCGACAACAATCGAGTACTATTAACGTTATATTATATAAATAACACATTGCTGAAAGGGTGATAGAGCAGAATGTTAACCCGAGAAAACATTTTCAACCAAGGCGAAGCCAAGGTTGACCATGTTTTTTTTGAGAGGTAACCCTCTGCTCTGTCACTCTCTCAGCCATGTATTATTCAATTTATTTTACTGAATATTCTGTCAGTATTGTCTTTTGAATTTTAAATTGAAAGTAATAAACTATGACTGCGTGTACATAACAACGTTACAGTCATTTGAAATGTAACAAAAATGAAGAAATATGTATGAGCATTGTCTTTAAACTCATTGATGTAATTTCAATTCAGTCTTTTAAATTATCGATTTTTGATTGGTTTGCACGAGAGGGTGACATTAAAAAAAAAGTCTACCGCTGAGGCATTGGATAGAGCAAAATGTCTCCCTCTTATGAACCAATCAAAATCTGGCATTTCAACGTCAAGTATAATAAACGAAAATATTATAAGTAAGTAAACTGTTTACTATATAGATATAAGAAGATGTGATATGAGTGCCAATGAGACAACTCTCCATCCTAGTCAAAATTTATAAAAGTAAACCATTATAGGTCACAGTACGGTCTTCAACACGGAGCCTTGGCTCACACCGAACAGTAAGCTATAAAGGGCCCCAAAAAATTACTAGTGTAAAACCATTCAAACGGGAAAACCAACGGTCTAATCTATATAAAAAACGAGAAACGAGAAACACTTATGAACCACATCAACAAACGACAACTACTGAACATCAGATTCATGACTTAAGACAGGTGCAAACAAATGCAGCGGGTTTATTCGTTTTAATGGTACCAAACCTTCACCCTTTTTCTGAAACAATAGTGTAACATCACAACATAGAAAGACACACTATAAAATATCAACTGAAATAGCTGAACTCAATCAAAGGACATATTAACACCATTGAACATACACTGAACAAATAAATTTGACCTATTACACAATGTAAATACAAAATAAATAAACTAAGGGTAGAATAATAAATAGTGACATGTGTAATAAACATAAATATATATTTGTATATACGAAATATAATCCGACAAAAATACACCTGGCCCAATAGACCAATAACTCATTTTTTTATAGCAGAATTTGTTGTTATTGGATTTTTTTCAATACTGCCAAAGTAGAAAGAGATAGAAATCAAATGCAAATACGGTAAATGGCTCTGCAAGCAATTATTTTCTGCCTGGAAACACCCTGTATAATGTCGTTATCCAAAATAAACTTGCTGTAGTAACTCTAAACATTTGAAATAAATAACTATCGATTATGTTTTAATTAACTATTAATATCTGCCAGAATTTAATTTAAGGTAATAAAAGCAATGGAAGTTGATGAGGACGAGTTCTAGATTAAAGTAAAATATAACAACGCAAAGAGGAAACTTCATTAAGGAGACATACCTTCCAGTAAAACTGAAATATTCAGACCAATTTTGATATGGATGCGCTAATAGGAAATTAATGTGCTAATAAAAGTACATATTGAATGCTATTAAAATCAGACGCTAGCTGATAATTTTCCTGTTTCGAAAAATGAACGACGAACCATTTTTTTTTATAATTGTTACTATCGTGAGTATAGTTGTTACTTGAATCTTTGATATGTGCATTATTGAATTGTTATCAGAATTAGAAACCTTTGTATTAAATTTCATTACGTTGTCTGGTTGTCAACACTGAAAGATGGCTAATGGTTTCATGCACAGACTTTGATTTGTTTTCTTTTGTAATAGAAACAAATTAAAGTTAAGAATAAGAATTTATAGAAAGATAACATGACAATAGAACATATGAATCTGTTGTAATTAGTATTGATCCGAGATTAAAACGTACGTCACAATGCTGATTTGTCGGAATAAATACATTAAAGACATTTATTGTTAGATAGTCTTTGTGTTAAGCATCAACAGTAGTGATTTAAGTGGTATGTTACCGGACCATATTCGAAGAGAAAAAAAGATAGATGTATCAAATTTGTTATAGAAGGATACTTTGCTATTTCGAATAACAATAAACAGTGGAAACGAATATGACACAATTCACCGAATGGATTATACCAGGAAACACATACCGGGTATTTTTTCCTTAAGCATAATCTATATTTATGTATACATGGATATGTGTAAGACCACACAATATTGCATTTCTGTAATATAATAGTAACAATTAAAAAACGATGACACATAATTCAGTAGAACCAATTTCTTCCAGGATGCAATTTGAACCTATGTCATGGAATGGGTTTAGAGATCATCAAACGGAAATTCAGTATCATGTCTTCAAATGGATCGTATACAGAAGATTATCTAAATGCCTCATTTTCGTCGGAATTGTATTTAACATCGTACAGATTTTAACATTAATCATCTGGGACTCGTCATCAATAAAAGCTATAACGGTGCTATGTATATGTTTATTAGTTTTAGTAGCATTTTATTTAACATCAATGATAAGACAAATTCAAAATAGTTATAGTAAATATATAGTGATTGGAGTTATAATACTAGAGACCACTGAATTCTACATCTTTGACAACAAGTACTACGAGTGCAACTATTATTGGCCAACAACTTTAGTATTTCTCATATTTGGTTGCCTTCCTCATCGTTTGAGGTATCGGTTCATCTTAGCATTCACGATGATTTTGCCAAATATAGTTTTTACTAAGGATACTTCACAATACGAGGAACTAGATGGAACAGTACTACAGAAGGTAAATAATGTGTATTCATTTATTTGTTATCATTTTTATATTTCAAAAGTAAATTGATAGTTAATAAAAGGAGTTGTGGTATGATTGTCCAACTGATTCAATCATATATTTATTGTTTGACTAAATCAGATCAATAATGTAAATGCTATTATCCCAAGAAGCTTTGAAGATGGTATAAGGTTGTTTATATTTTACAATTCACATACAAACTATTCTTTTTCATCATATAGCTAGAAAACAATACTTATAACAATTTTCGTGTTTGTCTCGCCTGCAAGGAAAGTCGAGGAAGCGAAATTTATGCGTAGTGTTTCCGGCGTCGGAGGCTCAATAATTTTTAAGGTTTGTAATTAAGTCACATAGGCGAGGCATAGCTCTGTTAAAACAGTTAATGAATTATAAATTAATTGGGCATTTCAATAAAATTACGCTGAAGGAAAGCAACTAAAAAAAGATAGAAAAGATCGAGATACCCAAGGAAAAACAAAGTAAAAACATTTGAATTGTTTCATTGATTTTACCTATCAGACACGGACCGAAGACATTTTGTTCCCCTCATTTCCTGGCAACAGAGACATGAAGGAAATTATCAAGATGTGTTTTATGTAAGGTTTCAGTTGTTTAATATAGAAACTAGATATAAGACGAATGCATCACGTTTCTTTAAAGAAAACATTCCAGACAATTTCGCATTTATATCCTGAATGGTTTTGTAAATGATACAGGTAGTATTTCTGATTATTTATTTGTTATGTGTATGAAATTGTAGAATATAAATACACATATCACTAGTTTCAATTGTGAGATGTTATATTTTCTACAACCGTTCTAGATTAAGTGAGAAATTAGTAAACATGCACTGCAAAATGATGAATAGAGTGAACTTTACCTGGAATTTGTTTAATTTTCATTAAATTGTGCACATTGTAAAGAAAAAAAGATATATACATGGATATTGCAAGACAAGTAACTTTACGCACTATACTCGAATTTTATGCATGGAACGAAAGAAATTGGTCATGACAAAATGGAAGGACAGGTTTTGTAAATGTTGTTTACAACATCGGAACCAGTATTGTTTCGTTTAAAACCAAAAATTTATGAAAAGCAACACAGATCGGAACATATTCCGCCGAAAAAGGAAGTAAAATACGTTTTGTCTGATCAAAATGCCCCTAAAATACTGTATTGCACTCATCTACGAACTAAAGCTTGGTTCGTACCATTCAGCAAATTATTTATTTTCTAAGATGTTTTTAAAGAAATTGACGTTAAATTTAATGGAAAAAATTCTCAAACAGTAATTTATTGCCTTCTCCCTACTAAAACTATTTTTTTCTTAAAAGTTGGAAAGAAGACCATACCCCTAGAGTTAATTTGTCTCTCCTCAAGAGGATTTATCAACGCATGATTATTGTCATCTTTTGCGCCTAACGTACACTCATTTTCGAAGGCAATTCTTAATGATATATATTTATCTTATTTTCTTGCTTAATTATGTTCAACCTCTTGTGATCAGGATATTTATTTTCAAACGATCATATTAACAGAATTGTCTCTTCCCCTTCCCCTTCCCCATCCCCACAAGGTAGAGTGGAATATCATAGTTTCTTACATAACCACCCCGTGGTCCAATAAGAAAATCAAATATTAGATAGGCGTCCTTCAATTTTCTAGGCTGTATGCTATCCAAGTTTGGACACTAATACTCATCATAGATACCAGGCGTACAATTTTGTACGTCAGACGAGCGTTTCGTCTACATAGGATTCATCGGTGACGTTCGAATAAAAGTTGAAAAAAGACAAATAAAGTACGAAGTTGAAGTTAAATCTAATCATATAATTCATACCGAAAAGCAAATTGAGTTACAATATTTACTATCTGTATTTCGCCGTTTAAATATTCATTTTCATACAATGCAAAACTAAAACTATTTTTGTTCCAATAAAACAGGAATTCAAGTGTTTACGAATTCAAATAGATAATTAGTTTCCCCTTCCAGAAATTGTTGTGCAACGAGCAATTTAACCCCTGTTGAATGTCAGGTTTACATTAACATAGTAACAGTATGCACTAATCTTTATGACGACAACGGGTCCTGCTTTGTATAATTTTAAAACGAAATCGTGTCCTACACATTTTTCGAAACCGGGTACTTCCTTTTGACACGTGTTATTTCTTTCGTTCCATGCATAGAAATACAAATATTGAAGTGCAAAAAGTGGATAATCTATATATAAATATATATATGCCACGATAGCTCAGTAGCATGAGTTCGAATCCCGGCCAGGGAAGAACAAACAAATTGCTTCCGCAAATTTACAGATCTAACATTGTTGGGCTGTTGTTTAGACGAATTATATATATATATACACATATATATCTTTCTTTCCGCACGTTTCTTTCCGTTCAATGTGCGCAATTGAATGAGAAATTAATTAAATTCGAGGCAAGGGTCACTGTATTCATAATTTTGCCGTGCATTTATACTAGCTTCTCTATTACTGTACGATTGTAGAAAATATAAAATCTCAAAACTGAAAATAGTAATATGTGTATTCAAACTGTATGATATCATACAATTAACAAATAAATAAAAAGAAATCCTACCTTTTCCATGTCTGTAAAGGGTCCGTAACCGTACTGGATATTAGATACTATTGAGTCCAAACATTATTTGCCAAGATAGTTTAGATACAGTATTCTGACTGCTTTCAACGTTTTTCTCAGTTGACTGTTCACCTGCAAAGTTGTTTCATACATTGATAATAATATAATCTGTGTTAAAGCCTAGACAAATTTCGTGTTTATTTTTTTTTGCAATGCTTTTTACGCTCTCTTTATTCTTCGAAACTTTTGATTACGAAGCTTCCTGGTAAAAATTTACAAAAAATATGCATCGGACCTAACAGAAACTGTTCGTTTTACTTTGATTTTCTTCTAGATCAAAGTAAACTTTTTATCTTCTTCTTTTTAATTGTCAGATTTTAATCCATAATTCTATTGAATTTAAAGGAATTACTAGTTTGTCTAGTTTCCTAACCATGAATATGACTATACTAATTCAGAAGTGGGTTTCTTTCTCTGTTGTTTCAAACAAATGGTGTTATATATCCTTATTTAGTACAGCAACCAATATTAGAGTATCGGACGACATGATTTGATATCAGTGGGTTCAGCATACGTTGAGCTTGTTTTCATTCTTTGATTCGGTATATTACTGTTTATTCTTTTTTTGTAACTCTGTGTTAGTTATATATTATACTGTGACTGAAGATCTCAATACTGTCCCTCAAATGATTTGTATTGTGTGTATTTATAACCGGATTTTCGAACAGTGCCAAACAGTGTCCGTTCATTAACATGAGAACGCTTTGACGAAATATTTTCAGATTTATTATGTACCTTATGTCATAAAAATCAGGAGATCTGGTATGATTGCCAATAAGACAACTATCCACCAAATATCAAAGGATGAGAAAAACTATTAGGCATAGTACGGCCTCCAACAAAGAGCAAATCACATCCAATGTAGTAAACTATAAAAGGCTCTGGCAAGACAAAATGTAAAACACTTCAAAAGAGAAAACTGACGGCTGATTTATGCTAAAACATTAAACGAAATTAGTTAGGTAGACAACAACAAATAACAACCCCACTGATTTATAGAAGGCATCTGACTAAGTATAGACACATACAGCATGTGGCGGGGTTAAAGAATGTTTGGGCGTTAAACACTCCCCTTACCTGGAACAGCACAATATAAGACCAATCAGACTCATCAGATCGACACAAAGCACAAACACAACCAAAGAAAAACCTAAATACTTGAAATACTGATATAAGAGTACTCGCAGTTAGCGAAATCCTGTTCAAAGCGAATTATAACTTATAAATAAATCATATTTCCCAGATTTAAAAAATCAATCTGTACACATCCAATTGACTAAGCATAAGACGCCATAAAAGTCTGAGATAAAACATGACTTTGTGGAATACCGAAATATAATTTAAGTATCGATAGGATGTAGGACCGTAAGTGTCAGACAGTTGGTTTTTTCTTGTTTGAAATGTTTTACATTTTATCGTGTCAGGACATTTTATAACTTTCTATACGGTATTGAATTTTCTCATCGTTACGATGACATGTAAATGCTTACATCTACGTCGTTTGGTCTTCGGTGGAAATTTGTCTCATTGTCAATCATATCATATATTTTAATTTTTATATTTATTTCCCTCGTGATATCTTTTAATTGATTTATGGCAATAGGGTTCTGTTAAATTGGCGTATATTCTAATTATCATTTTATTCATATTCATTAAATACTTCATAACAATAAACAGTTTATTTCTTTAATTTATTTCCAGATCATCCTATTTTTTCTACTCATGATACCAATATTTCTGTTAGGATTTTCCATGAACTTATACTTAGATACGGACATGAGGAAGTCGTTTTCAGCTCAAATCGTGGCAAAGAAAGAACAGGAAATCACAGTAAACATTTTAATAGAGCAGGTAAACATCATTAACAAGAATGGCTTGTTATATCAGTTGCATAATTTGAGTATGTGATCTCTGTCTTGGTCTAAATAGAAATGTTCCTAATATTCAAAGAGGTTTATGAGGTATCACCCAGTCACACTAACATTCAACAGAATGGCCTCATACTTTGTCAGTAGCTTGAAAATAATGCATTGTAATGTTAAGCACTTTTGGATCTATCAGACATCTACTTTCTTTTTTCCGAAACTTTGAATTACGAGTAGGGGTATGCTTAGCAGCACAAACGTGCAAATTCTTGGTTACAATGCTATGAGTTTTTCAAAAGTTTGAGCGCAAAATGAGCATTCCAACTTTCTGTTACAAATCAATTATAATTTTCTTCTTTTTCTTCTTCATAGTTTGCTTTTTAACCTGGCGGGATATGTTACTTCAAAACAGAACGACGATCAGAGTTTCTACATTAGAGTAATGAATCATTGGATATAACAGAAGAAAACTCTCTGCACGTGTTATTTGTTTATAGTAAATAATGTCATATATATATAATTTGCAGGAAAAGACTCTTCTTACCAGAATGCCACTCACATTAGCTTCAATAATGCTCCAGGACATTAAATCAGAAGGCACCCAGGACGAAATCGAAAAGAATATGTACACATGTTGCTACAAAAATGTTAGGTAACCGTTAAAAGAATAAAAAGATGGTGGTATCCACCATAAGTTTGATCAACGTAACATTTACTTTGATTTAGTACAATTTTGTCATGCTACAAGACTTTTCACATTTAATCAGATATTTTTTCTATTTCAATTCGATTAGAGCAGAAGATAATCATTTAATAAAATATATATATTATATAAAATTATATATAAACAGATGTGAATCAAGATTAAGAATAAAGTTAAGAATGCAGCTCATCAAGCCAATGTTTGAATTATACTAAATATATTATTCGTTAATGCGTTGAGTCTTCCGATGTACAACATTGAAATATGCATAGTACTAATATGACACAGTGAGAGCAAATTTAAGTATAGTAAATTGCAGTGACTTTTCTGTTTTTCTTAAATGGGTAGATACTTTATATAGTAAATATTTAACTTCGTAAAAGTTAATTCAGCTAAATAGGGAACATTACTACAACGTGCAGTGCGGTTTATTGTTGAGATTTTTATACAGTTAATTCCAATGTTAAGTTGGATTTTATTTAATTAATGTTTTATTTAGTATTTCAGTGATTCAGCTGGTGATGTTGGATGACTTATTTCCAACTAAAGAAATGTCAACATTCACGGCCTTAAAAGAGATATTAGATTGTTTAGAAGTTTTGTCAAAGGTGTGCATAGACAGAAATTATACAACCTATATATTTATCATTATCATAACACGTATGGCAAGGAATTCAATATATCATGAAAATATTCTGGCTCCAACTATAGTCTATCGTGTGCTTTCAAAGAAGTTAATGGTCCAAATCGATTAATGGTTATTTTTCTGCATCTGTTGATATCTGTCTAACGTTATGTAAGATGTGAAAATACTTATTGCTCATGTTGCAATTACAGGTCTATGATAGGTTTTTGCATATCAAAATATACATTCATGATCCATTTATGACCAAGATAACTTAGGAGATTCACAATGGCATTTTGAAAAAAACCCACCTCCATTAAGATCAAGAGAAACAAGATCACGAAAATAGGTGTTGCAAATTTCTAAAATATCAGACATATAAAATACACTCCTGTCCGTTTTTATGTGGATAGGAGTTTTGCAACATCTCCGTATAATTATACAATGTTAGAATTAATGATGGTATCATGGCGGGTGATGCATGCATATCAGGAGACGATTGCCCTTTTGACGCACCCAGTTTCGCTCCTTTTGGTTTTCATGCGATTCGCTTAGATTATGTTGTTTACGTTGATTTATCTCTTCCTAATCAATTGACGAGATTTGAACATCGGTAAACTACTACCGCCTGATTTTATCTATATCAATTTTAAAGGAGCACCATACTAGTGAGAGTCTGGAAAACATTCTGCAGGTACAATTTACGACCGACGATACGATATGTTTTTGTATTTCTTATATTTAAATGATGTACAATAGGTGCCTTAAAACTAAAAGGTTGATCGCTGCTAAATAATCAAATGTATTAGGGAAATATAATGAAATCATACGAAATATACTGATATTTGATAACCATAGATGTCAGTATATATTTTGTTGCAGAGTTGTAAACAAAGAATGGTAGGATCACATTTGAATAAATTTGTGTTCATAAGTGACGTGTTGGACTCCGGGTACAGACCAGCAGAAATGTCTGTCAATATGAGTTTATCTATACTCAATAAAGTACGGTAAGTATAGAATAAATCTGGTTATTTCTTATCGTTACAATATTTTGTTGTGAATAGTTCATTTCAAGCGACACAAAATAAATGTTTCTGAATTACACACATTAAAACATTCCTAATAATAATATGAAATCCTATGAAATCTGATTTTTATTTTCAAAGATAACATCATGACATTTTTCTTAACCGTCTAGGTACAGCAAGCAGTTCTCGGATATGCAAGTTGCTTTTCTCTTCAAAAGGTTGTAGGCATAAGGGACTGGTATCACGAGTGTTCCGCTGCAGAAAATTGCTTGTCTATCAAAAACGAAATTATTGCTTGAAATTAATTTTGATAAAATCACGAAATCATTTGCAAGCTTCTAGCAAATAAATATGTAGGACTCGGAGGTTAGATGGGAACTCTGAAGTGTGATACTCACGCTGAAGTGCGATGGTCCTTTTTCTTATGTGCGATGGTCTATATGATGTGCGGGAGAATAGTTTAAAATCTACAGATGTGCAAGTATTATGCGAAGTAGATTTTTCTATTAGTATATAAACCTGCAGACTTATCCAGAAGAGATATAGTTACGATAATGTTGTCAGGTCATTAAAGATGGTATTTTTTGGAATTAAAATTGATTCGCTCATGGTATAGAACCACTAATTCAGGCCCGGTCGGAAAGAACATACAAGAAAGTAGTACATATTTTAAACAAAATAGTTCCTACTCATAGCTGTATCTTTGTCAATAGTGGGAATATTTGGGTAGTTTTAGTATCAAATGAAAGCTTTGGGACTTGGAATCACTGTAGAACCCTAGTTGAAAGTTTTATTTGAATAATAAAGAAGTATATGAAATTTTGATAGGAGGGCTCATTTGGCCTGTTGTTCAGATCAGAAGTTCCTGTTTCTGTACTATCAAACTTCCGGGAACCAGTACGCTCTAATATGCAATTAAAGGTATGTTGATTTTTTCAGCACAAGTCAGCATAAGGTACAGTTTTGACATGAAATAACTGCCACTTAATTTGAACGTAAGACAAAGTAGCCATTTATGCTTGAAATTGCAGAATTTAACATAGAAAGCAATGGGGCTATGAATTAGTGGTTTTATACCTATTACTGACAGGCATGTTAAATTCTATTTTTAGAAATCATACCCTTTACAGTGAAAATTGGTCACATTTGTTGTCAGAAATCATGTTACATTATTTTTTTTATGTAACAATTATGTTAGTGTCAAATTACAGCCCTCAAATTGCTACAATAAGGTATTTTAGCCTTTTTTGGTCATTTAGCATGCACACAGTTAAGATTTTACCTGAAATTTAAATTTTTGGATTATCTAACACTGAAACCAATGAAACTTGTATATTATGACTAGTTTATAGTATAAATATTGTTTTTGGTCAAATTATCTAGTGAGTGTTCATGTTTTATTGTGTTTCTTGGTGAGTTATTTATTTCAAGGAAAATTGGTGTATACTTATATAGGAATTCCAAAATCTCACTTGAAATGCATTTTATAACCATTTTAGCAAGTTGTCTATCTTGGAGATACATGAATTGCTCTTGTTGATCCATGTTTATACATAAAAGTATGTTTTTTTTACCAAATCACTATCCTTTTCCAACATGTAGAAAAAAGGGGGGATAAAATTATCAATTATATTTTATGTTTGGACCACTGTATTTATATTCAAGGAAGAATCCCTGATAAAAATAAGACATATAGGTAAGAACACTGTTATTTGAGTAGATATTAACAAATCAGAACTGGTAAAAATTGAAAAAGTGTCATATCTGTCACTATTAGTATCCATATGTAGTTTTCTTTGTTTAACGCATATGTTACTACCAGTCCAATTTGAGCTTGAATTCAGTGATATATTGTTTTGACAAAAGCTTTATGTGTTTTTCTATGCTAGAAATAGATCATAGAAGGAAATTAAGTCAAGCAGAAGTCAATATAACAAGTTTGGTGCTGTTATAGGTATAGAACCACTAATTCAGGCCCGGTCGGAAAGAACATACAAGAAAGTAGTACATATTTTAAACAAAATAGTTCCTACTCATAGCTGTATCTTTGTCAATAGTGGGAATATTTGGGTAGTTTTAGTATCAAATGAAAGCTTTGGGACTTGGAATCACTGTAGAACCCTAGTTGAAAGTTTTATTTGAATAATAAAGAAGTATATGAAATTTTGATAGGAGGGCTCATTTGGCCTGTTGTTCAGATCAGAAGTTCCTGTTTCTGTACTATCAAACTTCCGGGAACCAGTACGCTCTAATATGCAATTAAAGGTATGTTGATTTTTTCAGCACAAGTCAGCATAAGGTACAGTTTTGACATGAAATAACTGCCACTTAATTTGAACGTAAGACAAAGTAGCCATTTATGCTTGAAATTGCAGAATTTAACATAGAAAGCAATGGGGCTATGAATTAGTGGTTTTATACCTCATAGGGTCTTTGCATCGGAAATATACACATTTATTCTAAAACCAGTTGTTGGCGTGATACGGGTTATGTTCTTCTCGTATATTTTATGATGGTATGATACTAAACCCCTAACGGGAGGGATTGTGCTTGATTTGCATATGATGAAGACATAATCTTTAAATCAGTTTAATTGAAGTCTGGATCTGGCATGTCAGTAACTGCTAGTAGTCCTTTGTAAATTTATGTTAATTATTGTCATTTTGCTTAGTTTCTTCTGTTATCTATTCTAACATCGGACTCAGACTTCTTTGGAACTGAATTTTACTGTGCGTATTGCTGTGTGTTTGTTTATTCAACATTGGCTAGAGGTATAGGTGGAGGGTTGAGATCTCACAAAACATGTTTAACCCCGCCGCACTTTTGCGCCTGTCCCAAGTCAGGAACCTCTGGCCTTTGTTAGTCTTGTATGTTTTTTTAATTTTGGTTCATTTATGTTTCGGAGATTAGTGTGATGTCCATTTTCGCTGAGTTAGTATACATAATTGTTTAGGGGCTAGCTGAAGGTTGCCTCCGGGTGCGTGATTTTCTCGCTGTGATGAAGACTCATTCAGGGCCTTGAGCATGTGTTGAGCTGTTTTCTGCTCTTTGGTCGGATTGTTGTCTCTTTGATGCATTCCCCCTTTCCATTCTCAATTTTATTGCTTTCATTATTGTCTATAAAACCTTCGGCGAGTTTATTATTACTATTTAAATTAAGTAACGAGAGTTGATATCAAGCGATATCCAATTCTCACGAGTTGTTAAACCTATTTATTAGTTGTTTAACGTGTTTAATCAGTCTGCAGGAAGACATGTCTTCCTAGCCGGACAAATTATTCCGACTCCGAGTGGACCAATCGTTACTTTACTCCTACATTCTGCCTGCTTAGTGGAGAAATAGTAAATACCAATTTTCAAGTCTTTTGTTTGACCCGACCCGAGATTGAACCCACGACCTCCCATCCCCGAATCCAGCTCGCTACCACGAGACCATCGAGGCGGTTATAAAGTAAAATTTGGTGACAGAAGCAAAGCTTATCAACTTACCTCGAAATTGATATCAATTGTCATCACTAAAATCATTATGATTCAATTTTGTCAAATAGGCAATTTTCTATGAAACAAGGAGTGGATATAAACGCTAGAGCTTGCATACACATAGGAGACATACGGATTGCACTTTTAGGACAGATCCATGCTTCGGCTGATGCTTTTGGAGAAGATTTGAATATTGCAAAACAGATACTGGAAACCGGGGATTATGGGTGAGATACAATCTGCGGCTTTCATATTCACAAACATGTTTATTGAAAAAGGTTTAATATTTTCAAATCAAATAGTAAAATCAGATAATAACGAGTAAGATTTTATTTGAGTCTTTTGAATTAAACAAAACTGTCGACACATTTTGCTAGGGAGATTCTAATATTATTGAATGTGTGGATGCTTGTTTATTCTTATATGAAATATTGTTTTTACGACAGCGTCATATGTAGTCATAATTTCTTATTTCATTAATACCCCAAATAATTTTTTTTCAATAATTTTAGTACAGTCCAGTGTTCCCAGCACATCAAGAACTGTATTGGATATCATTTTCAACTAGAGGAAAAACAACATGATGGTGTGGATGAATTCCTTTATAGCCGATGTATTAAATGCTTTGAAGTTACTGGAACTTTAAATGACGTAAGCAAGTAAATTAAATCAACAATAGTTCACCGATGTTCAAATCACGTAAATCGGTTAGGAATAGACAAATCGAGGTTACACACAGAAACAGAGGGAATTGCATGAACTCAAAAATGAGCGAGAATGGTGCGTTAACATGGTAAGCGGTGCGTTAACATGGTAAGCGTCACCTGCTATGCATGCATCACCAGTCATGCGAATTCACACTCCGTAAAAATGTCACAATCGGGAATAGCTCGACATTTATAAAGTTTTATTTTCTTTTTTCCTTGAATATTACCAGTTTTGAGGTACCATTGAAACTAATCGAAAGCACCTGTAGGGTTTATATTTTATGTGTTTTGCGTATCTATGCATTTAAGGTATCATATTGTGATCCATATGTACAGTTTTAAATATAGTGATGTTTCTTGTATGGATATTAAATTTCATTGACATGCTAAAGAATATTTTCTACGATGTTAAGAATTTGTCTAGATTTATTCTTCCACAAAAGATGTTTATGCTCTATAAGTGCACAGAGTAACGAAGTTCATTTGGAAATAATGCACCATTTACAAACATAATTTCATTCCAATGTTCTAAAAGTGTAAACTCACATCCGATGAAAACGTTCTTAATTGTGCATTTATATTGATATTTTTGACGAGAGAATCAAAGTTTCATAGATTGAATCAACTGCGCAAATTGTATTTGTTTTAAAATCTTTCGGTTCTTATTTTATTTGTGTTTTAATGTTTCTGTCATAACACTAACTCGTTTTATAGGAACAAAATAGAGAAAGGGTATTATGTTAAGGTACATTTCATAACTAAAATATTCACACTGGAGTCATGTTGGACACACCGGGTAGGAATATGTGTTTAAAAGAAGCATTGAAATAATAAATTTTAAAAATTAGAAAAGAAAATGGAAAACAAGTCAATTTCGACATATTAATTAAAGATCTGTTACAGAAATACAGAAAAAAACATTGAATCTAACTCTTAAGTATTCAAAGAGCATAACCACACATGTTCATGAATGTTTGCTGTAAATGTAATTTTGGAATGATGAGCCAATGATGGCCTTCGTACTGGTATAACATTAGCACTTGTAACACATCACCCACTTGATTATCAATTATGTATGTCTCGATTCATTCTACATTGTCATATAAGAATAATTTTTTTTTCATTTGTGAAAAAACGTAAATAGCCTTCACTTTATTTTTCAGATAAATAAGCTTGACAAAAATGAAATTCGGCAATCTGATATTTATTCTACACTATTTTGGTAAGTGGATGAATTTTTTCAGTAATTGAAATGATTTACATATGTTTTCATTAGTATTATTTACAATAATAATTAACATTTATGACGTACACGATTGTGTATCAGCGAATATGGAAATGTTAGTTTTCCTAGATTCCAGTTTCGTATGATGGTCTATCTCCAATTACTTATGAAATCGACATCTTTTTGTCTTAGCACTTGTTTCTAGTCATATTTAAAGTAAAAGATTAATAAGGAGAAGATAATATTTACCGCCATTGTTTCATTTTTCATTGTTTATTGATCTTTCAATATACTTTTATATAAAAAAAAACTGCGCAGATTTTAAGGGAATTGCTTGTTAAAAATACATCCACATGCGATTAAGTTTGACGTAATGTTAGTAAAGAAATGTTTGAAAATCAATCAATCAGCCTTAGATTTGTATATTGAATGATATAAAATACATCCATGTTTGGTGCTTAAGACATGTGTTTTCCAATTAACATTAAATTGCCATAAATACATAATTCCAAGTAAAGCTATAGATTACAAGCAATAGTTCACAAAACACAACACAGAAAACTAAAGAATGAACAATACGAACCCCACCAAAAACCAGGGGTGATTTTTGGTGCTCTGGAATGCTAAGCAGATCTTACACAACATGTGGCACCCGTCAAGTTACTCATGTTATTACAAATTCGTTGATAAATCTAATTCGGTAGGTCACATTCAAGGAAAAGACGAAGGGATTGTGGTTACAACAGTTTAACATATCAGTCGTCATATGTGAAACAGATATTCCATAACGGTCAACCAACACATGATGGCGTCCGTTAAATTTTCGAAGGGATGATTTCGACTTCCTCACTTAGAACTCTTGGTTCAATAGCTTCCTTGTAAACCTCAACTCTCTATCAAGGAAATCATGATAGGAAATGCAAGCTCTGGAATATCGTATCAACATGGAGATATATACCTCATATGCAGGTGCTGCTGGAATTTAGCTACATAGAAATGAAAAGATCACAATTGGGAAGCTGAAATTATCTCTTTTGTCGTAAAGCTTTTTTCGCAACCAACCCTCCTTGTCATTTTCGAGATATGAGGCAGATATAACTGTATCTAATGTATCTAATGCATCTTTTATTTCAATTTCGATGGGATAGATGCGTTCAACATGGTCACCTGACTTTGAATTATTTAGTGAGAGGACATGATCTATATAGCGGAACGTGAAGTTAAAGGATAGTGCTATCTTCTTTTCATTCTCCTGTATGAAATCGTCCTCATATCAATAAAGGAACAAGTCGACAAGAACAGGACCACAGTTGGTTCCCATGGGAATGCCGATTGCTTTTTGAAAAACACGTCCTCCAAGCGTAACAAATATGCCAATCAAGAAATCAAGCATCTTAATAATGTCAGTTTCAGATAAATGTTTTGTTTGAATCAGAGTGATTGTTTTACAAAGTAGGAGTTATCCCTCCCTAAGACAAGATACTAGTATTTACGAGCCCATTACTTTTTCATGAAACAAAGCAGGAGTAATTCATTCAATGTGTCATTTAGTTTATAATGGGAATTACTTGTGTAAAGGGAAGGGTAGAAAAGTCAAATATTTCAATACTTTTGCAAGATAAAAGAGACTTAGATTGTATTTACCCTAATACATCTTTCGATTTTTTCAGTATCCACATCTGATTTACGCCGCCCCTAGAGTAGGTAGTTTCACAATAACTTTGAAGCCCGTCTTTGATTGCTGATTAAATTGATGTTGATAATTTAGAAAGAGGTTTCGTGGAACACTTGGAAGACCCAGCAATATTAGTTTGTTTGTAAGGACACTTATGTAATTTAGGTATCCAATAGAGTGAAAGAAGATCCAGTTTTCATCTTTGGTTGAAATTCCAAAGGGACATATAACTGACCTATGCTAATCTAGAATTTCCTCCTTGGTAAGTGTCGTTGGGGTATATGTTGAGTTTCCATGTGAATTGTCCATCCCTAATTCATTCCAAGCAGTTTATTTAATGTGATATACAAACATAAAAGAATGGTACGGGCTTCATCTGCAGGTACAACAACATTTTTGTCTTTGAGGTAGGACAGGTGCTTTGCTTTGTTACGTTTGGGTCTTTAAAGATTGATGTAGCATGTTTATTTATAGACCCATACAGTTTTTTTAAACTCTGATTTGTATTAACGACCTCACAGCCTTAATCCATTCGGAAAGAGTATATACGTCTTCCTTCTCGCGTTTGAATTAAGACGTACAAATAGAGAATTTTACAACTGCATTTGATATCAATCCTTCATGGAGTTTTGAACGCATGCTATAGCAATATCAACGACAAAACCGTTATTATCTAATTACTTAATTACAATGGTCAAAATATCGAAGAGTTGTCACAAGTTAAGAGACATGTATAAGAAATGAAAACAATTGTCTAGACAAGAAAGGTTTTCATTGTTTACGATATGTTGTAAATCTGATTGTATAGATTTATCTGTTTAAGCTACCATACATCATGTACTGCGTTACAATCCTTGATGCAGCCGACTAGATAAGGGATCTACCGACCTTGACAATTATATTTTTATATAGCCTATATGGATGAGTGGTCTGGGTCGTTGGACACAGTAAAGGAGGTACGGCCATTGATTTCATAACAGCGTGTATTCGAATTCCGCTGAGGTGACGATTTTAATTTGCAAATGCAAAAACGACTTTAATGATGAATCGGCGGATTTAAGACGTGAAAAATAAACGTAAGCGAAAGTCCTGTAGAGTTTGATCCAGGACTATCCCATCGAGAAAAGTATATAGAGTTGTTACAATTAATAAAGGTTATGCACAAACAAAACATTTCAATGCAACATTTGATTTTAATGATGGGCTCTTTGCTAAAGTTGTACTGTACTTAAATTATTTTATCTAACATTGTTTCTTAGCAGAATGATTCCTCCGAGAAATAAGGCACACTATGGAGAAAGACAACGAAGATGGGGAGACATCAATATTGGTACATTGTCGGCTGTACCAATCGTTTTATTTTTTCAGTTATGTTTGGTCATTGCTTCACGACAATTGTAAGTTGACAATATAAACCAAAAGCTGGATGCAAGTTTGATAGTGTTTGTCCATTTGTCCTAAGTTTCTGCTTTATATAGTAATACAACACAGGAAAACAAACAGAACATCAATAAATAACTAATTGAAAATAGTAACAAAATAAGGAATACATGTACTTTCATCAGGGTGAGAAACAGCTTTGTGATAATTAGTCCCCTATCGACGAAGTCGAAGGAGACTTTAGGTTTGCACTCCGTCCGTCCGTCTGTCTGTCTGTCTGTTTGTCTGTCTGTCCATACGTCAGTCATGCAAATCAGTTTTCCACACTTTTTTTCTATGTGCTTAAAGATATTGATTTGAAATTTTGGTATATAGTTTTATCATTACAAGTTACAGATCAAGTTCGAATTATGTTCCGGTCTGGTGATTTTGTGCAGAGTTATTGTCCCTGGACTTAAAAAGTTCACTCAAATAATCAGTTTTCCACACTTTTTTTCGTCATGCTTGAAGATATTGACTTGATATTTGCTATATAGTTTACACCATGACAAGTTATATATCAAGCTAGCATTTTGTTCATGTACAATGAATTCTTAACCGGTAGGGGACTATGTATTGCCATGCAATACTCTCAGAATGCTTGTTTTTCATACCATGCTACTCGAATGAAAATGGTTTTTGTCAGTCGAGAAGTGTGAGAACATAATGACATCATTAGCCCACGTCATTGGCGTTGTCAAGAAAAATAGATAAACATCCTTTCGTTAGAAAAACTTTCGATAATTTATTAATTTCCAGACTTGCTGTGATATTTATTTTGTTATATTTTTACAGATTATTATCTGAAGCTATTGTATTTTCAATAACAATAACAATCCTACTACTTATTCCAATCTGCGTTATTTGGAAGGCAAAACGGCAGGTAAAGTAATATTGCAAGCATATTCTCTACAAATGTTACAAAAGAAAATTATGTAACGAGATGTACTAAATATAGACGAAAGATAATTTCTTATGTATGAAAATGTCTTAAATACTATAATATATGACTGGATCTTATTTGTATTAATATCTGGATCGTAAATCACAAAGTGATATGTTTTTGATGACATAATTGCCGTTCAAGATAAGAATCACACAAGATATATTTTCCTTGATGACATAATTACCACTCTGATTTCAAAATAGATATACACTTTCATTCTTTCTTTGAAATATCTAGATATACAAAAAATACTTGATTGCCAAACGATTTCATTGTGTTGTATTTGTCCCTAAAAACAACTTCACATTTCTATAAATACAATAAAGGGTTTTCTTTGAAATTTCAGACAGCGTTCCAAATGTTTAAAGTGATGACAATGTCAGTATCAAACAGAATATTTTGTCTGTTTTATTCTGTTTTATCAGCTGGTTTACTTTTGCTATGTAATGTAGTATATACGGTAAGTTAGATAAAAAAAGGAACAAAATCAATATTATCGACTAAATTTGTTCGGTATGCATGCGTTTCATGCATAACATAAGTACAACTCAAGCTTACCAGGAAATTTATCTTTCTAGAGAATACAAAGTGCTCAGATCACTACATAAACCCGTTTACCGCACTAGGGACATATATGTCCCTTATTAGAAAACGGCCAAAAATTAAAATTAATAACAAACTTTTACTCCTTGAAAACTAATTACAACATATGTTTTAAGATTTATGAAATTCAAACAAATAACGATTATAACGTCATAATGACAGATATGACGTCAGAAAATGCAGTTTGAAGAGGTTATCTGAAACATCGTCATATATTAAGAATGCGTAGGACACGACGTTCATTCTAAAAACGTCGCGGTCAAAGGGTTAAACGCAATTTTCATAAAACAACCATAAATAGTATAAGAAAGAGCGCTAAAGGAATTTTGATCATTTTATTTGGACTTTTTAGCTCATAGGAAATCTAGCTGATTATGTGTAAAATGTACATACTTTCATCATATAATGCCAAAATTGATTTTTGTAACAAAACGATAAATGCTGAATTCTATAGTAAAATTTTAAAATTGAATATTTCTGTTTTGTTGTCATAGTTCTAAACATGCATTCATTTGAATTGGAAAAAATCTTACACTCAGCAAACTGCGATCATTAAAAAAACATTCTTAACTCCCTCCGACAAAGTTGACCTTAGATGGATTTGGCTATTTGTTTATGTCCTTTTTTGGATATATAGCTCTTTAACTGTTTCGGTTCTTATACATCTTTGGCTTTCAGATATTCGACTGTGAACGTTATGATGAAGGTAAATCCAGAACAGCGCTTCGGACGCATGATATTAATGACGTGTTGTTTTCATTTTTTTAATATGCTTGGAAATATTACATATGACTAAAGATCGATTTATGAGTAAGTGTGTTATCAAGCAAGGTAGAACAATAAAAAGAGGAATAAAAAGAAAAAAATGCAGCTCTGCCAATCGTTGTAATGCCGGGTAAATTTCCAAATAGCAAGTTCAATTTAAATCATAGACCAGTTCTTTACTGTTTCCAAAGTACACTCCTAGAACCCTTCTCGTATAACAAATAAAGCGTACTGTTTTTATAGCTTCCAGTGCTAAGTTACTCAGTTACATTCATCACGAATACTTGAAGCATAAGGAGCGGCAGTCAAATATAAACGCCCAGAAGGGTTGCTATGTCAATGTCAATTTAACAACTAAACATCACAGACTGAAAGAAATAGCAAGTGGATATCTTATTATCAATTACATCTACAGCTCGATCATATTCACTTGTACACTTATGGTCAACAAAGCGTTTTAAACACTGCATAAACTGGGACTACACTAAATGGCAAAATATATAAAATTGTTTACTTTGAATTCAAGATTCTATATTTCACACACAGCGCCCACAAAGAGAGAGAGAGGTATGATAAATGTTATTTACTTTATTTACAAAAACATATATACAATTGATATAGTCATAACATCTATTATACCCCGAGAATTTTGTTTGCCCCATAATTTGTAATGTTTATCATTTCAGGTGGATAACCTTAACGTGAACTTAGATAAAAATATGTCAAACACAAACAATGCTGAAGAGTACCTGATGCATTTACAGTCAAACAATATGGTTTTAACACTGTTAATCATTTCTCACATGATGTTCAACTACGTCGTCAATTATTTATGTATAATAGGATATGTAATAATTATCTGGCTCATTACAATGACCTCATATAATTACCATGGATATGAAAATGGGTATGCAACAATTATGAATGAATGTTGATGTTTGATAAACGTCATTCATATTTTAAACAACAAAACTAGTCTACTCAACGTTTGTATTAGATTCTGGATTTTCGAATATCTTGGTCTTAAACATCACTGAAGAGACATTAATTGTCGAAATGCACATCTGGTGCAGTACTATTGGTAACGTTTATGTTTCTACTAAAATCCCATTTAAAATTGAAATGTTATATTCATTATCAAATGTCTATCTGTCAGTCTAGGCAGGTTGTGATTTATTTCTGCAGAAATTACCAAAAGTATGGCATAACAACAAATGCAAGACTATCCAATTAATTTTGCAGTTATTTTGAAAACGAGTTCTTCTCGACCATTTTTTTTCTTTTTTTCAGCTAATAACGTTTCTACATATTTAGACATCCCTGTCTTTCAAATGTTATATTTGAGCGTTCCTGATTAAGTTACATCCTGAAAAGCGCTTCGTACGCACAAAATTCATCAAAACAAATTTCATCTAAAAGCATTTAGACAATAGAACACGCTTCTTTTAATAAGACTTAGAATGATTGTTAGAGTAAAATTTTGAATTGTCAAAGACGTAATTCATTAAACAGATTTATGGTTGATCTTTAATCTGTGCAGTGTGATACGATGAATATTTTTTCATGCGATAAATAGACAGCAGGCCACAACCATAAGAGAACAAAACCGAAAGCACGGTTTGAACATGATACACCATTTAACATGAAATGTTCTACGTTTTTGCGAATAACACAAGAAAACTTAAAAAAAAGTAACAAACAAACGTTCATTTGTAAAACTTTGGATACAATTTTCATTTTGAATGCCTGCAGTTTGAGTTATGATTATTCAAAGTATCGATCTTATTTCGCTGACATTTATTTGATTTGTTTTCAAAAGTATTTCCAATGTTACAACATTTACATTTTAGACAACACGCTGAGATTAAATCACTAATCAACATCACAGGAATAGCAGCATGTTTGATTTATTTTCAAAAGATGGTGAGTAAATCTACACTCATATACCTCTCATGTCAATAACTGATGTCAAACGAATTATTAAACCACTCATCTTTTGAATTTATTTATATCCCTTTCTCTCTGAATTTTTTTACAGACAAATTGATTTGATTCTTATAATACAAGTTAAAGCATCAGGCTAGTCCTGTTTGACTATTACCGATTACACATTGAACTTTTTTATGGATTGCTTTAAAAACAAATGTTTGTGAATTGCATTTGAGTAAAAACAATTCTGAGTATTGTAACTTCAAGAGTTGACTAATTTTTCAGCTTGATATTATACTACAGCAGATTAAAACTGATACTTCACTTATACAGACACAAAACAGAAAGGTCGTTCATATTGAAAGCAAAATGAAGTCTGTAGTAAGAAAAATTGAGCCACCAGTCATCATCCGCAGACACTTGGTATGAAGCAAACTAAGTTTCTTCTTTGATTATAATTCCTAATAAAGTGAATATTAATAATACGTTGATATAAAGAGACAAATACATAATGCATATTCAGGAAAAGAACAAACTAAACAATTTAAGTAGGTTGATGTAAATTGAGTCGATAGGGAAAGGCAGATAGGAAGACTTAAACATTATTTTTACAGTATCACATATGGCCCCTTCAAAATCTTATTGAAAGATTCTGTTATGTGCAGTTAGCTTTGAAACCTCTTAACAGCACAGAGCTTTGCATTCTCTCAGCAACTTCAGTGAGCTTTGCAATTTCTCAACAGCAGTGACCTTTTCATTCTCTCAACACGAGGAATATAAACATAGAATATTTTATTTCGCTGTTTAAAATTGATGTTCATCATTCATCAACCATGATTTATATCGGCTCAAAATATAAAATCAGATGCGGTATTTGAAAATAAAGCATAGATTTATCCCTCGCAGGTTATCATGACAAAAGGGCGTATATAGGCATCTAACAAAGTCCTTTTTGGTTCATGCTACGATGTTCCTAGATGTGTTTGTTTTCATCCGTTTGACTTGAAAGTTTTGGTCACCTGACACAGACATGGAAGTCTGAACACCTTTAGAATATACATAATTGTTAAAGAAACTAAATGGCATTGAAAATTCTCTGTTCGATGAAGATAAACTATTGAAAAAAGGCACACAAAAAATAAATGTCCATCAACACACGTCATTGCAGGTTTCATCTTATGAGAAATATGCTAACATTGGAATTCTGATAGTCAGCTATACATTACAGAATTCTGACTGCAGTATGAACAATATTCGCTCACTAGATACCATGTTAAGATCTTTCGATTCTGTAAGTATTTGATTACAGAAAACCTAAATTCATTTATTGTTTATATATATACTTATTTAAATTTTAATCCACTGCTACGGAAACAACTTTATTTGTATAAACCAAAAATCATCATATAAGATAGGAACGCAATAAAACTTTTTTTTTTAAAATGCGCTTCTGTTCCATGCTACTAGAAATAAAAGGTACAATAAATAATAAATTACTGTACAATTGATAACAAGATAATAAACTTTTGAGTCTTGAAAAAACTGCATTTTACAGATCGTTTTAATATTATACGTACTTATACGGTAAAAACATCAAGGAAATAAAGATTAATTTTTCCAATGCAGTTAAATGTAATGTATATACAATGTTTATTATTGCAGTTGTTACAAAAGAAAAAGTTTGAAGGTTTAACAAAGATAAATGGGAGTTCGTCAGCTTACATTGTTGTATGTGGCATGCCTTCAGAAATGCAGGTACTAAAAACCTGTTCAAGAAATATCCTATACATTAGGAAATAAAAATATATAAATAGACTTTCGTCTGATTGATTTAATTCATCAACTAGCTACGTACACGAGTCGCACAATTGAATCACCCATCTTTTCAGCTGAGTTCTTGTTGTTCTTAAGTCTTAATTGACCATCGTCACTCTGCTCCTTTTCCACTTTTGGTACCTGTGTGATAAACACGATTTCATCTACCCTTGCAATTTTCAAAGTTTCTGCCGCTGCCTACAAATGATAAATTTTAACTGGAACAAAATGGACTGGGTAAGTAAACACACCCCAAAAACATTTTAATGGAAAAAAAAACCTAATTTCTAGTTCGTAATTTATTCCTTCAACTAAAATTAAAATATTAATCAGTATGAATATTGTCATTCCGATAACAGTTTTGTTTTCTCAGTCACTTCAGGGGAACGTATTAGCAACTTAAAGCATTAGAATTCACTTCGAGAAGTAATCGTCATCAAGAAATTTCGTACTCGCGTTTGGAAACTTAAAAGTATATGAATACTTTCATCAGTTCAAATTGATCAAAATTTGTGACACTTTGGAACGACTGTACTTTAAATGTGCATCTTAAAGACAACTATTTAATGAATAAAAAGAGATATCTTTTAAAAATATAAATGTAAATTAACATATCATATTATCACTTCTTATGCTAAAGAATCTTTACTTTGAATCTTGCAGATGGTAACCAGACATGAATCATTAATTTTATTTGCCATGTCAATGCAGGAAGAAATAAGAAAATGTCAAACAGATTGTACTGACAATCCGGCATTTAGAATAGGTAATTTTATCAATACAAAAGGTCAAATGACACTTGCAATGAACCGCAACGACAAGATAATTTTTCGATAACAGAAAAACAACTGTCCGCGTCTTTAATTTTAAAAATGATAAAAAAAAAGTAACAACGAAAACAATTATTTATTTAATCTCACATACATTGTACTTAGTAATGTATTGTTAATGTAAGATTTCGTGTTTGTTGAATAACCTTCATCGGACATGAAAAACCAGAAAAAAGAGCATAAACAGAACAAAAAAATAACCGTCCAAAGTCAACTTTCACTGATAGCGGCGCAACCTTAGCTGCGCCACACTTTCATAATATGATGAACGGAAAATATAACAACAAATGTATCATTTTAATAATGCCAATACCGAATCACTGTCTGATTTTTTCGCTGTGTTGAAGACCCATTGGTGGCCTTCAACTGTTTTCTGCTCTTTGGTCGGGTTGTTGTCTCTTTGACATATTCCCCATTTCCATTCTCAATTTTATCCAAAATCTCCAGTTTAAAACTTACATGAGGAAGTTGCAAACTACCTTTTGTATATATATATATTATTTAGTCTTTTTTTTTTTTTTTATCTTTGATTAAATGAATATATTTCATGTAAACTTAAAATCAAGGCAACGACCATTCTAATATTTTATCGATAAATAAAGTCTGAAGTTGCAAAATACTACTTTACACAGATAAAATTCTTTCAAAACAGTGTAGAAAACAAGTGCGGTCGAATTCAGATCCGATTTCAGTTGCAGTATTTGGTATTCGTCCAAACCCACTGCACATGTCTTTAGAAGAACAAATACGGGAGCAATCAACAAACTGCATGTTAACATACTAATTGACTTAAATAATTCGTTGACCGACAAGACATATACATTATATGTTATTCGGGATCTTCACAGGCATGTATTATTCTTATTTAATCTTTAACTGCATACAGGTTTGCACATTGGTCCAGTCATGGTTGGTATATGCAGCGATTTTGTTGGTATTTGGGGAGCTTCTGTTGATATATGTAAAGCAATTTCGTGTTCAAAGCAGAATGTGCATATTAAGGTAAAACATTAGATATAAAATGACATTATAGGTCTTTGTATCTTATGGTATTACAGAAACGATAAACCAAAGTTACTTTTTGTATGAATTGAAATCAGAACTTTACCACGAAAGATACAGTCCGGAGTCTGTTGAAAAACCATATAAGAATAAAGATCGAAATGTTTGTCAACTAATATGAAATGTTACGGCCCTTAAAATAAACATCTTTATAAAATTATAGATTTGACCCACACAATAAAAATGATATTGTGTAGACGCTCAAGAAACACTTCAAAGATAACCGCCTACAACAAATCCAAATTAAAACAGAAGGGCACCACTACCAACTATTCATTTTATTTACATAGTTTATGGGGGTAAAAAAATTTTATCGAATATATGTTTGCTGGTATATGTACTGACTTTGTACTTTTCAACTTGGATACATATGTTTAGAAATATCCTTTTATCTATTACAGGTTTCTGGTGAATTTGCAAAGTGTATAGATCAAAACAGATATCAGTTACATAAGGGAGAATCTGTAATGGTTACCAATAAAACATATAGAGACATGTATTTTCAGAAATGAAGCTAATTTAGATAGAAAATAAATTATTTTTATGTTAATTTTTTCTTAAGTGCTTTTGTTATTCTTTTTGGTACACCTTTTTCCCGATTTGTATATCACTTATTTAACACACTGTATAAGTAGGAGGCGGTAAATAAATCCAATAAGACAAATATGCAAACAGATCGAAAAAATAAATCTGCACATATAGAGGTCACCGTTTTGCATTTAACAATACATAATGACCATATCGAATGTTCAGCGTTAAACGAACTGTCAAACAACCATTTGCTTTTTAAGTAAATAACATTAAACGAAATAAATATATAAAAGACAAATGTTGTCTTTCATAGTACTTTATACAACTAGCATGGACACAGTCTTCACTTATAAAAGAAAACGTGTTTTTATATCCTATTATTCTACATGAAATTAATGGTAATAACATTTACGGTACCACTTATACTACACTAGATATGCTTTTGACAATCAGTTTCTCTTCAGTGGTGCTCGAGGCTAAACTATTGGTAAATCCAAATCCTAATACAAACGCAGAAGGGCTGATAAATCCAAAAAAAAAAGGAACTTGTTAAACCGTGACTAAAATTAACATGAAGTAAATCAATATTACTCCAAAACCTTTAATTATAATGCTACTTATGTGTATGTAATTTTTTTCTGTTACGAGTAATGTTAAATGATGATTCATGTGTACCCCCAGGTGGATAGGTGTGATATTATTACCGGTACCTGTTCACTTGTTGAAGATCATATAACAGCTTTCAACGTTTTAATGATGTAAGTTGTTTATAATTTTGGCAATTAGTGTTCGTCCTTCATTTTGGGTTGACGACACTCAATGTTTAAACTGGGCAACTGACTCACAAACAGTTTGTAAATTAGAGTTAATCGGCCCAGTTTACACACCAATAACCCTCCGCCTAAAAATAAATACTGTTTCATCCTATATTTTATCCATTAATGGACATTAAATGACAAGTAAAAGCTCTTTATTGCAAATATTTAACGACGGTATTTTGTTACAATGTACTGTAAAATTATACACCTACATTTTATAGCTTCATTGGAATATCAATGTACAGTGAAATATTGGTTAATCGAAACCATATCATCAGACCGAAATTGTGGTTCTTTTAAGGCGAAGATCTTGGTCTTTTTTAATCCGACAAAAACCCAGGTGTATTAAACGACGATTTCAACATCACCGGTATCTAAAGAAGGTATAAAAAAAAACCAACATACTACAGGACCCAGAATAATATACAAAGAAAAAATAGAAAAACCAATCCTCTACCATATAGGCAACAAAAAACGCATTTTTCAAAACATATATTTCTTAAAAGGGAAATATTTATTAGAACGTCGTAACAAAAACAATAATAATTAAAGTAATTCAAAATGTGTCAGTGTCACAATTCAAAAAACAATAAGGTCCGTTGACTTTCTTTGAGAATATTTGTTTCACTATCAAGCCTGCACTAAAAATATGTCTTGTCATGCTCAAAGTTACGCAAAGACTTCTGATTCCTCTACGACAATAGTTTTATAGATCCATTTATTACATCGGTGATCCGTTTATTTGGCAATCGCCAATGACCGTCAGCAGGGTTTAAGAACATTTGTTGTTCGACCTGTTAGTCAAATGCGTTTTGTTAAAATATACTTTTTCACTCTTTTGGTCTTTTGGAAAATGTTGTTTGTGCTGTATTTAGACCCCTCTAACAAGAAATTTGTTTTGCATGCACACGTATAAAAATTGCGGTTTTATCCAACGAAATCATAGGTTTGAACGTTGTTTTCAATTTAGACTTATTATATATATATATATATATATATATATATATATATATTGAAGTGAAAAGTACAGGATTCCAGCCCCGGTCGGGGAGGAAGTAAAGAATCTGAAATAAAATAAGCTCATTTTTAATATATTAAAGTAAGCATGCTTATTACTTATATACTGCTTCTTATCTCTTTTTATGGAAAAAAAAAGCACAAAAATCATATGTTATCAATTCACATTTAAAACATTGATTATACCTTTCATAGCTAACAGTGCCTTTCATATATCTCTATGACCTTACTGACTTTATAAAAATTATCATGTTAGGTGATAAATCATGAAAATCTTTTACATAAAATCTACCTGATTTAAGGATTTTTCTCACTCAGAAAATAATGTGTTTGTTATTTGTTTCTTTTGTTGAAAGAAAAAAACATTTTTATTTTTGTATAACTGTTAAGATCATTCACAGACCTTTCTAAAACTGGTTTTAGTTTTAAAATCCATCAAGTAATAACAATTTAGAGTTCTTTTTGTGTTTGTGTGTGTTCAAATAGGAAAAACGGAGCTTTTTTTTTGGTGAAGTGTACATTGTGACGTCATTGCTTTTGTGACATCATGACCTTATGATGTCATAATTTAGCATTGTACAACCATAACAGAGTGTATATTTTTTGAAAAATGAAAGGGAAAAGGAAAAGAAACCAATTTAAGGTTGGTTACCAAGCACATCTATTGTGAAATGAATTCTTAGCAACAAATCAAGATTGTGGTGTCAGTAATAGTGTTACTACATCCACAGCTCCATCTACACAGGTTTTAAAAAATTCATCTGTGCAAGTTTCACCTGCATCACCTAAACTTGAATTTTCTTATTCCACTACAAATTTGACACCTTAAACCACCACAGATTCTGTCTGGTTACCCCGACTTACTGAAAAGGAGTTCAAGTTGTACTCAAAAGAGAGTTACGTTTAGAAATAATATGTAGCCCAACAAACTGAAAATTGCGCTACTATGGTCAAACTACTAAGACCCCATAAATTGTCTGATTATTATCTAGATGGATATTTAGAGGAGAAAAGTACTGAAAACAGAATAGTAGATAGAGATCTTAACACTTTAATGATTAATAATCTTATAATTTGTAATATAAATAAAAGTCCAAATTGTGATGTTCCACATTTTGAACTGGTACAAGAGAGTCACTGGGGTCTCGGTTGGATTTGGAAAATGAAATGTACCAAGTGTAAATTTATTTGAGAAAAATATAAACGGTTTAGAGAAATTAACACCGGACGTCCTGGCTGCAAGAGTGCTACAATTAACTACGGGTTTCAGACTGGCGTGATTTACTCTAATATTGGTAATGATACCGCGCGAGTACTTTTGACTAGTTCATGTATTCCTCCTATGGCAAAAACAACAATGCAGAGAATATCAAATAATGTTTGTGACAAGGTTGTAAAACTTGCTGAGAATGAAACGGAACAAGTGGTTGAGAATTTCAGAAGGAGAAATCAAAGCTTAGGTTTAAATAAAAATAGTCCTGTAAAATTACAAATGGATGGTATCTATCAGAGTGTTCATATCGAAAGTAGACATGAAATGCTACAAAATAAATCACAAGCAATTGGTATTGCCTGTGAAAATGAAACAGACAATCATGATATCATAGGTTTTCACTTAATAAACAAACTATTCTGGGTTGGTGCATGGTTACGCGGTAAAGGGTATGCTGTTGAATGTCCTAATCTTGAGTAATGCACAGCAAACACTAATAGGTATGATCCCTTGAGTGAGAAGGATCTTGGATCTTGGGTATGGAATAGGGTAAAAAAATGGCCAAACTTGATTTACTGAGGATTATTGTACTACTGATGGGGATGCAAAAAGTGTACAAGGTTTACAAGAAGCAATGCAAGAAATATTTGACCCTTTATGGTCAGTAAATAGACTTGCATATACTTTACACAGGAGTCAAAGTCAGTTCCGTGAAGTACAAAGAGCGAAATTTAGTGTCAGTATGTTCCTTGGAGCTACAAAGGACCAAAAAATGATATTAAAGTAGCTTTTTCCAATGATTTTAAATTACGGTAACACGGTATGATGAAATCATTATTTGCAAAATATAATGGGGACTGAAAAAAAATTTCCAAATGTTTGCCTCGTATTGTTAAGTCTGTGGTAAATTGTTTTAGCGGTAATTGCAGTGATACATGTAGATGGAGCATATCACTATGTAATGGTGGTTAAAAAAAACTAGCTGGTGGTACAAATCTATTACAAAATGGGTCTTTGAAACCAACCAAGACAGACAAAATATAATAGAATCATTGTTAGAATTGAAACTTTCTCAGACCGCTTTAAATCAGATGCAATTTTTCAGCAATACAAACAAGTGTGAGTCCGTCAATAGAAAAATTCTACATACCTACCTAAAAATAAGATTTTTTTCACGCAATGTCATAGGCCGTGTATCTGCAGCAGTCTTGAGAGTCAATAATAAAAGAGATGTTGCATTGGCTAAGACTATGAAAGCTGTAGTCTGTGCTCTAGGTAAAAAGTCTCGTGCTGTAGTGGCTCTGAAAAAATACGAAAACATGAAATATATGGAAAAAAAAAGTTTACGAGTCAAATTTAACAGGTTACAGGCTCGCAAAAAGCAGGCTATCAATTTCTTCTTAAACAAGAAAGTGCGAAAAAGCGGATATAAAAAACATCAGTTAGAACCTAAGCTATGTCAGAATGCAAGTCCCAAAGAATTCGTTCCACAGTCAGGTTGTAGTTTTTGGCCATGTTAACATTTGTATTAAAAGGTTACTCAATTGTTTTTTTTTTCAGCCTTTCAGGAAGCTGCTGCATTAATTTAATTATTTGTTTAGAGTGATTAATATATCTTCTCATAAAAAAAAATATTTTCAGGAATGCATGTGCATGTTTTGAGTTAGTTGTATTTTTTATATTTAAAAGTTTGTTTCATTTTAATAAACAATTATGAAAATAGGAAAATGGTACCAGACACTGAAATAAACCTTGTATCAGACACAAACATTATTTCGTATGTCCCAATGCATGCGTGCATTCATCCACAATACATGCATTCATTCGAAAAGACAAACAATGAAATAGAGTAAAATTTAAAATAAAATAAAGCCATGTAAAATGAATATTACAACATTTACAGTTAAACTTTGTAAATTAATGTCATATTTGCAATTATTTTCATTCTAATATTCTTTATTTTGTTTTTGT